GGGATCAGGCCATGGCAGGTGAATTCCCTCTGTCTCCACAGCAGCTCTGCCAAAGCCCCACGATGCCCTTTGGGCTCCCTGAAATCCCCTCTCCTGAGAGAATCTGTGCCAAGGATTCCAGGGCCTCAGGGCCAGTCCCAAGGGCCTGTTTTGGCCATTCCCAGTCGGGATCACTTCATCTCCCAGCTCAGTCCCTTTTGGGATCCCCCTGTAACCCCAGGAATAGAGGTGGATTCTGCCCCTATGGATCTCAATGGCATCAGGGACATTGTGCTCTGAGCTCACCTAAAGCCATGAGCTCCTGTGGCTCTGCTGTGCCATGGATCCACACAGTCCAAGGGGTCCCAGTGTCCCTTTGGCCAACCTGGCAGGAGCCAGGGCCCCTCTAGTCCTGGTCTTGGCACTCACTCCTTGTAAATATGACCTGGAGGTCCCTTCCAGAGGATGGGAAGTAACATCATCCCTCCTGTTCTGACTGAGGACATGCCCACGGGAGAGTGGAGCAGATTTATCCTTGTAGAATTTCCTGTGGTGGTTGTTGTTGTTCCTCTCAGCTCCCATCCCTGTGCTGCCAGGGCACAGGGGGGTTTTCCATCCCATTTCCTCTCTGAGGTCCTGCAGGTAAAACCACAGGTTTGGGAGCACTGGGAGGAGGAGGAGGAGGAGGAGAAAAGAGTAAGAGCCCTGTGGAAAACACTGCTCAGAAAATATTATTTATTGGAAAACTCAGTCAATGGTTGTGCTGGTTTTACAGTAAACCAGGGGGAGAAATGAACACTGCACGAATACCTTAAGAGAGCTTTCAGGTCAGAATTACAACTTAATAGAAGAATTACAATAAATGCAATGATACAGAAAAACTGGCTTAAAACCACAAAGGCAGAGGACAACCTGGCATCCTGTCGGTCAGGGTGGTGGATGAAGTCCTCTTGAAGTGATGGTTGCAGTCTTGTGGAAAGCAGTGGTCCAGGGGAAGGTCTGGTCCTCCTGTGGAAGGTCTGCTCCTCCTGTGGAAGGTCTGATCCTCCTGTGGAAGGTCTGGTCCTCCTGTGGAAGGTCTGATCCTCCTGTGGAAGGTCTGGTCCTCCCCTGGGTCCCTCGAGCAGTGCTGGGGTCCCAAGCCCCCAAAGATCCCAGATGATATATGGTCAGATTCAGGCAGGAATGTTCAGTACCTCCCCAGGGCAGGGAATTTCACAGTGGAATTATGTATTCCTATGACTCATGGGATGTTCTGGGGAATCCTCGATGGCCTAGGCTCCACAGGCTGCCCAGTGGGACCGAGTCAGTTTGGGGAGACAAAGGAACACTGCCTGCAGGGTTTGCCTCCTTCCCTGAGGGCTCAGCTGGGCACTGGGCAGCTGCAGGGAGTGACCCACCCATTCACAGGCCATCAGGATGGTGCAGATGGGAGGAGAACACGAACACACAGTTTGGGTACACCCCACCTCGTAACCCAGGACAATGGAAACCAAATCCGTGGGGAATCCCAGCTGGTTCCTGCTGGGGCTAGGCCTAGGAGGGGGCTCTGCTGGCTCTGCTCCGGGCCCTGCGCTCCACCTGGGCAAAATACTTGTCAGGAATTCCGGTGGCTCTGCAGAGAAAAGAATCCACCGGGGATTCAGGACCGTGGTCCCACAGCAGGTTCTGTTTGTGAAGATGCAGAGGGAGCTGGGAGCTGGCCCAGGCTGGGACACCAGGAATGACTCTGGGAGCCCATGGAAGCAGCACTGGCAGCCCCTGACCTAAACTCCTGCAGCTTTTGCTGCCTGAACTGGGCGAGGCGCTGGCTGCGCTGCTGGACCTCCTGCTGCTGCTGCCGGCCCTCCTCAATGAAGGCCGCCCGCTCCCGCTGCCGCTGCTGCTGCAGCTCCTGGATCTGCCGCCGGAGATCTGCGGCATGGGCACGCTGCCGGAGCTCCCTCTGCTCCTGCTCCAGCTTCTCCCGCTGCAGCTGCTCCTGATGGGCCCTGCGGGAGGGGGGGCTGGCTCAGGGCCCCTGCCACAGCCCCCCCACACCTGGTACAGCACCTGGGCTGGCACTGGAGTCCCCAGAGCCACCAGCTGGAACTGGGAGCTGCTTGGCCATCGCCTCAGCCATCCCTTGGTCCCGTGTGCCTCACCTGAGCACCCTCTGGAATTCCTGGCGGTCTTGCTGCACCTGCATGGCCAGGTACTGCTCCTTCTGGGCCACCTGCTCCAGCCGGTCCTGCTTCAGCTGCTGCTGCAGCTCAGCCTTCTTCCGTGCCTTCTCCAGCTCCCGCCGCCGCCATTCCCGGTCTGCGACCTCTTGGTTCCTCTTGGCCCTCAGAGCATCCTGCCCAAATAGAGGAAAATGCTGGGCTTCCCTCAGGGGCAGCTATGGAATCCCTTGGCCATGGCTTTGGCTCTGCCGGCACCACTCCAGGACATCCCCTGGCTCCAGGGGCTGGTGCTGCAGATTCCCCACATCCAGGGGCGCTGCCCCTTTGCCAGGGTGGTGACAGGAAGGGGAGAATGTCACCTGTGCCTGGGGCACTCACCCGCTCTGCCTGCCAGTCCTGGGCCCGCTCCTGTGTGGCTCTGAGCCGGGCCAGCTCCTTCTCCTTCTCCAGGCGCAGTTGTTGCTGCTCTGCCTCCAAGGTGGCCTCACGCTCCTATGGGGGACAGTCCCGGGGTGGGACAGAGCCCGGGGTGGGACAGAGCCCCAGGGTGGGACAGAGCCCTGGGGTGGGACAGAGCCCCAGAATGGGACAGAGCCCGGGATGGGACAGAACCCCAGGGTGGGACAGTGGGACAGAGCCCCAGGATGAGCCCAGGGTGGGACAGAGCCCCAGGGTGGGACAGAGCCCCGGGGTGGGACAGAGCCCCAGGACAGCCCCAGGACAGCTCCCAGCTCCTGCTGACCCTGCCCACCCCATCAGGAGCCCGCTGCTCTTACAGCCTTCTGCCGTTGCTGCTCCAGCACCCGCTCATCCTCCAGCCTCTCCTGCTCCCTCTGTTGATCCTTCAGCCTCTGGCTCTCCATATTGAAACGTTTAATATCGGCATGGATTTGCTTTAGTCGCTCCTGTTTCTGCTCCCAGGCCTGGAAATGCCATGCAGGGTTGGAGACCACCAAGCCGAGTGCTCCTTCCTCCTCCTCACTCAGGGCAGGGAGGCTTTGGGCCATCTCCCTGGGATGTCACAATGTCCCCAAGGGACCAGAGGTCTGACCCTGGTGGCTGCTGTCCCTACTCCTTGAGTGTGGCTGATCCAACTCTGCCAATCCTTTTCCAGCCAGGTGGAAACCTCCCTGAACCCCCCTGTTCCCTGCTCACACCTTCTGATCCTCCCTCTTCATCTGCTCCAGTCGCTCCAGCTGCCTCTGGCCCTCCTGGTACAGCTCCTCAGCCCTCAGTGCCCGCTCCTCTGCATTCTGCTCCATCTGTTTCACAATGTCCTGCCGGGCTCTGGGAATACAAGAGCAGAAGGGTTTCCTGTGGCTCCATCCTGCTCCCCATCATGGGAATGCTGCCATGGACAGGGCTGGTGTGGTTGGAATGGGCTGGATGCCTCCATGGGGAAGAGGGAGGGATGCCCACCTCATCAGCTCCTGCTTCCTCTGGCGCTCCAGCTCCTCCTGGACCTCCATGCCTTTCTCCCGCTCCATTTCCATCATCTTGTCCAGGCGCTTCTCCTCCTCCTCCAGTTCCTTGTTGATCATCCGTTTCTCCAGGACTTGCTTGTCCCGGATCATGTTGCACTTGGCATTGAGGAACAGCTGAGGGGACAAGAGGTGTCTGTGGCTCACACTGGGACACAGGGAGCAGGGAGAGGAAGAGCCTGGGAGCATGAGGAGCAGGGGAGACTCAGCAGTGCCAGTGACAGAGGCGAGCACCGGCCCTACCGCGTTCAGTTCCCGCACGTCTTCCTCCTGCTCCAGCCTCATCCTCATCGCCCGCTGCAGCAGCTTTTGCTCCTCCTGCTGCAGCTCCTCCTCCACATCTATCTGATAGTCCCTTTTGTCCTCCAGCTCTGCCTTTCTCTGCTCCTCAATCTGGGCCTTTTTCAGAGCCTCCTGCGGGGACAGAGAGCGCTGCCCAATCCTGGGCACCTTCCCCAGGGGTCACACTTCAGGTGCCGCATTCCTGGCGCTGAGTGGGGACATGTCAAGCACCTGGGGCCCTGGCACGGCCCTGAGCACCCCTCCCCACACCTCTGGGGAGACACCTTGTGCCTTTGGAAGGCTGGCAGTGCTGGGCACAATTTCAGGGATGCTGCCCAGCTCTCAGTGGAGCCCTGAGCCCTGCAGCCTCCCCTGTGCCCCAAAACATTAGGGACAAAAGGGACCCCCTTGTTGAAGCCACCACCCCTAGAGCCTGGCAGGGAGCAGGAAAAGGGGGAAGCAGGAAAGGAAGTGCCTACAAAAGCAGCGTCCTGTCTGGCTCTCAGGGTCTTCAGCCTGTCCCAACGCTCCAGGTCAGTCAGGGCTCGAGCTGATTCCTTGATCCTCTGGTATTCCTTTTCCCCAATGATGAGACACGGCTGGGGCTTCTCCTGGGGAATGCTGGGGAGCACAGGGAGACAGCTCAGTGGCACAGAGGTCCCTGTGTTCCCTGAGCTGCCCACCTGGCCACCAAGCCAGCCCAGAGTTTGTGGGAAGTGCTGGGAAAGCCGTGGGGACCCGGCTCTCTTGTTTTGGGGTGAGGCAGGAAGGGAAAATGTGCTGAAAGTGGCACCAGGCTGGGATGCAGAGGGTGGCCAGGGCACGCTGCCAACCCCTGCTCCCCAGAGATTTTGGGATGCTGCACTGACACCTGCTGGGGCCCAAAAACCCCTCAGGGCTCGGGCACAGCCTTACATGAGCTCCCGGATCAGGTCCTTGGTGATGACTTGGATGGTCTTGAGCTTGGGCTTGAAGGGGAGCAGCTCTCGAGGAGGTTTTGGCACATCCTCAGAGATCACCACAGGGTCTCTGGAGCCCGTGACCTGCTGAAAAGAAAAGTTTGAGGTCCTGAACCCCTCTCCTCCTGGTGCTCCCCATCGAGGGATCCCAGCAGGAGCTCTGGGCCTCTGCCAGGACCAGCCATGGGGTGTGGGGGGCACGTCCAGAGGGGACAGAGGGGCAGCGGGAGGAGCTGGACATCCTGCGGGGCGTGGGGGTCTGGGGAGCCCGCGGGAGAATTCGGGACGGACAGGCTGCAATCCTGGCGGTGAAAGCTGGAGACGACGGGCGAGGAGGGACCTCCGGGAGGCGCCCCGGGCACGCAGGGACCGCGATCCCGTGCCGGCAGTGCCGGCTGCCATCGCGGGGGCTGTCGGTGCTGTCCTGCTGGCCTGGAGCCGACTGTCACAACGTGGTGGGACAGACCGTGTCTGCTCTGACTGCGACAGTGCGGCCAAAGCCGCTGTCGCCATGTGCCGGGACCGTTGCCATGGCAACGCCCCAACAGGGCGTGACGGGGTGAATTGGGGGCGGAGCCTCAGGCAGGAGAGGCGGGGCTTAGGCTAAATTAGGCGGAGCTGTGTCACCCAGTGTGCTCACAGCTGTCCCGTGTGCTGTCCTCCTCAAAGTGTCCCTGCATGAACGCGACACGAGTGACCCCCGACCCCCGGGGGTCGCCGGAGCCACCACTGACGGCCCCGCCCCTCCCTTAAACCCCGCCCCTTGGCTTTGCCCCGCCCTTTCAAGCCCCGCCCCTCAGCTAATTTCTGTCCCGCCCCAGCCCCGCCCCCTCATTGCCCCGCCCAGTCCCTCCTGACTCCGCCCAGGCCCCGCCCCTTGGCCGTGGCCCCGCCCCTCCACGTGGTCGTGGGGTCCCTGCACCCCCAAATTGGGGTCCCCCCTTTTAACCCAGCAGGAGCCCCCAGCCCCAAATCACGACCACCCGGGCCTGGAAAGAAGAGGATCCATTTATTGGGATCACAGAGGTTTATTTGGGCTGCTCCCCAACACGCTGGGGGGCCCCTCCAGCAGTCCCCAAGGCACTGCGGGGCGGCGGGCGCAGCGGCACCGCCCTCCCTCACCCAGCCAAATAATAATAATAATAATAATAATAATAATAATAAATGACTTAGGTCCTGACAAATGCAGCGAGGGGGCCGGGGGGGCTCGGAGGCTGCGGCGGCGCCGGGCGCGGCCTGCGCGCTCGGACAGGCGGGGCCGCCTCGCCTTCCGCCGGGCGAGACCACCCTGCTCTCCGAGGGGGGCCCGCCGAGCTCTGCCTCTAAAGAGTCGAGATGGCCCGCGGCACCTCGGACCCGCTGCCTGCCGGATACAACGAGGAGGCGGCAGCGAAACGCCCACGCCGTGTGGCCGGCCCGCGGGGCCCGCCGCTTCTCCGGGGCCGTGCGGGGTTCCTCCCTGCCTCCCCTCCCCACGGCCGCGGGTGCGCCCGGCGTCACTTCCCCGGCGGGCGCGGGCGGGGATTGGGCGCCATTGCGCGCGGGGCGGTGCGCGGTGAGGCGGCGCCGCCGGGCTCCAGAAGCTTCTGCAGCCGCCGCGATGATGGGCCCGCGCCCCGTCCTGGTTCTCAGTAAGTTGCGCCGGCCCGGCCCGCGCTGCCGGGGCGGCAGGGAGCGGGGATGGCCGGTTCCGATCGCCGCCCTGCTGAGGCGCTCGCCTGGCGCGCCGCCATGTTGGGTCTCCTCATGGCCGGGCGCCGCTTCACGGCCCGGCCCTGATCCGCCGGGAATCGCTGCCTGCCCGCAGCCCCGGACACCTTTCCTGGCGGCGTTCCGTGCTCTCGGCTGCTCGCGCGTCTTGCTCGGCGCGTTGCTTTGTGCTGCCCCGTTTGAACCCCCAATTCTTGGGCCTCCGGAGCGGCTGGAGCGCTCTAAAGTCCACAGAGATGCTCCAAGGGCTGCAGCCCCTCTGCTCTGGAGACGGATCCTGCAGAAAAAAGACACCAGAGCCCCTTCCAGGGCCTAAAGGGGCTCCAAGAAAGCCGGAAAGGGACTTTGGGCAAGGGCCTGGAGTGATAGGGTAGGAGGGGATGGTTTCCCGCAGCCACAGGGCAGGGTTGGGTGGGAGAGTGGGAAGAAATTCTTCCTTGGGGCGGTGGTAAGGCCTTGGCACACATTGCTCTGAGAAGATGTGACTTCTCCATCCCTGGAAATGTCCAAGGCCAGGTTGGATGGAGCTTGGAGCTCTAGTAGGTGTCCCTGCCCATGGAAGGGTTTTGGAATGAGAGAGTCTTTAAGGTCCCCTCCAACCCGAACCATTCTGTGATTCTCTCACCATCCACCAACATGAGGTATTCCCAGGGTTGGTTTTTTTCTGTTTGGGTGTGTCATTCTCTTCTCCATCCATTCTGTTCTCTATCAGCCCAATGGGCAGACTGTGGTAGCCCACTGCCCCTTTTGTATAAGCCTGCTTTTCCTTTTGTTTCCTTTTGTTCTGTCTTCCACCTCCTGTAAGGGTTGCACAGCTTTGTCTCAGGATGCTAACGAGGAGTTCTGTTACAATAGGGAATGTTGGTTTTCACTGACTTTTCTATCAATGTATTTCTCATCATGACTGCAGTATTTGTATTATAAACTCTGAATTTCAGTCTGGTCACGTGTTGAATGTGTGACTGAGAGGTGACTGCATCCTTGGTGTTTTGCACTTGGTTAATTTTATTTTTTCTGTATCCTTTAGGTCAGAACACAAAACGTGAGTCTGGAAGGAAAGTCCAGACAGGAAACATCACTGCTGCAAAGGTACCAAATTCTCAGGCTGTTCTGATCCTTTGTGTGTGTGCATTCCTATATTTCAGAGGGAAAACTGGATGTGGAACAGATTTTCTCCATTTGATATGAATGTAGAGTAGAAGAAGAAGCAACACAGAAAATAATTTTCTATGTTAGCAAAAGATTTCTGTAAAAATTCTGTATAAAACCAAAATATCTGCATTGTTCATGTGATGGGTACCCCATAAATAACCATGGAGTGATTTAGCCAACCAAACCCATTGTCTGCAGAGTCTGAAAGTGTCTCAGTTTTGACATCTGACTGAGATAATAATAATTTAGTGTGCTTCCAGTGTCCTGATAATCCCCACATTCTCATTTCCATACAATTCTTAACCGTGGCTGCATCTCAACCACAGCAGAGTTGTTGGATTACTTAAATTTTGCAGGGGCTGCTGATTTCACTGTGGGTTTGGGTTTTTTTTACATTTCTTTGATTCCTCCTAGACCATTGCTGACATTATCCGAACATGTCTGGGCCCGAGAGCAATGATGAAGGTAAGAGTTTGTGCTGCAGCTGACTAGAAGTGAGGCACACGTGGGACAGAGCACTCAAGTGTTGCTTCTCTTGTGCTTGCAGATGCTTTTGGACCCCATGGGTGGGATTGTGATGACCAACGATGGCAATGCTATTCTTAGAGAAGTAAGTTTCTCCTAAATGGTTTCCTTTTTTAACATTAAGTCAGTGTGTGCCTGAACCTTGGGTAACAGTGGAGCTGTGTGATCTCCCCACCTCCTGAGAGCCAGCAAGTGCTGAGCAGCTGCTCCAAGAAAGGTTCTGACTAGGGAGAAATGAAATAGATCCAGCAAGTATTCTTGCTCTGCTCTGTACAGTCAGTCTTTGTACAGACTGACATTGAAATGTAGGTTTGACCCTGCAGTGGGAAGTTTTCATGGAGTATTTACAGGACTGATGCAAATCCTTTGGTTATTGGAGCTATTATCAACTGCATTGAGACATTTTGAGTAGGTGGTGGTGTTCACAATGCCACGTGTCTGTCTGGTGTTAAAAGAACATCCTAAAAACTGAAATATTTGAAAAACAGTGAAGACAAACAAGAAGTTTGACAATCCTGTCAAACACAAGGGCTTGGTTTTGGTCTCAAAAAGAAAAAAAAATCCTTGCTGCTGTTGGACAGAATGCCTTGGATTGTAGTGCAGGTGTGGTATTTGTTCCATTGAGTGATGTGAGACATTTCTGCTGTAATATTCTGGGACAAATCCATGCCCCTGTTCCTACACAGATTCAAGTCCAGCATCCAGCTGCAAAATCGATGATCGAGATCAGCCGCACTCAGGATGAAGAGGTTGGAGATGGGACCACGTCTGTCATTATTCTTGGTGAGGAGACAGGCTCCAACACTTTGCATGAAGCATCAAGTGCACCCTTTTTTCTAGGCAGAGACACATCTGAGTTATTTACTAATCTTGACATGGAGAGGGGGTTTTTTACTGTGCATGCGAGGTTGATGACGCCCTAACGTGATCAGAACACTTTGGAAAGTTGTTCTTTCCCCATGATAACCACAGTTAAGTGTAAAGAAAGGTATAGGTGATGGAAAGAAGATATATTTTTTCTGGTTTGTACTCTCCTTTCTTGACTGTTAATTGTCCTATTAATTTACTTGAGGAATTCTGATTTATTTCAATTTTTTTTTAGCTGGAGAGATGCTGTCTGTTGCTGAACACTTCCTTGAGCAGCAGATGCACCCAACTGTGATCATCTGGGCTTACCGTAAGGCTCTTGATGACATGATCAGTATTCTGAAGAAAATTGGGTAAGTATGGGCTGGTGGAAGTCAGAGAGGGGGGCTGTGGACTTCCTGCACTGCTTCGAGCTGCTCCTTCAGGCAGTTGTGTCAGTTGAATACAGCTTAACAAAACTGGAGAGGGAGTCAAAAGGGTTAGATTGTTCCTTGGTATTAACACTCAGTTTGCTCTTTGGTTTTTCCTTTATCTCAGCACTCCAGTGGATGTGAACAATAAAGAGATGATGCTCAAAATAATTAAGAGTGCAATAAACACCAAGGCAATAAACCGCTGGTCTGACTTGGCCTGCAGCATTGCTCTTGATGCTGTTAAGACTGTGGAATTTGAAGAAAATGGCAGAAAAGAAATTGATATTAAAAAATATGCAAAAGTAGAAAAGGTGAGTTTGTCCTGAGCTGTTTCTTATCCTCATGCTCCTTTCTTGTTCTGAACTAGTTTATTGCAGGGTGCGTTGTGAAGGATTTTGTGTTACTTCTCTGCAGTCCACAGATACAATCCTTGAAGATATTTCAGTCAGTTTTGTCAGCCATGCTCATTTACAATGCCAACAGGGGCTGCTATCTTTGAGTACCTGTCAAAAATATGATTTCAGTTGGATTTGGAAGGTGGAAAATGAAACATGTTGTCAGACAATAGAATCCTAGAAGTTTCTTAAATTCTTTCATAAGTAACCGTGGTTACTTGGGAGATGTTTTCCCTTTTCTAGATGTGGGACAGCTTCAAGAGATACTTCCAGATACACAAATTTGTGTAGACTAAACTGACTCTGCTGATTTTCTGCCTCGTGTCTGTCAGATTCCAGGTGGTTTCAGCGAAGACTCGTGTGTTCTGCGTGGGATTATGGTGAATAAAGATGTGACCCATCCCAGAATGCGCCGCCTCATCAAGAATCCACGCATCGTCCTTCTGGATTGTTCTCTGGAGTACAAGAAAGGAGAGAGCCAGGTAGAGTGGGGACATCTGCAGGTCTTGCTTTAGAATGAGTAAAACAAACATGCTGGCTTTTTAAAACTGCAGGTGGGGAAAGGATTTCTGTGTTCTGCCTTTCAGAGGCCTGTTGAATGTGGGGGCTAATTCTGCTGTGGGCTCCAGAAAAAATAGGAGTGAGGCTGCAGGGTTTTGTCTCATTGAGCAGCTACAATGATTTGTGTATCTAAGTGCTGGTCAAGAGCAAAAGAAATACTTCTGAGCCTGAATTAAGGTTAATGCTCAGCAGTGTCACAGTTTATTTGATCAGTGGTTTTCATCCCTGACTCTTTCCCTGGTTATACTGGAGGAGCTGAGCTGCTTGAGGCTGGGGGAGGTGTGTGTAATGCTGTGAATGAACACCTAAGCTGTTTACACCTCTTTTGTACAGACTGACATTGAAATTACTCGGGAGGAAGACTTTGCCCGGATCCTGCAGATGGAGGAAGAGTACATCCAGCAGATGTGTGAGGATCTGATAAGAGTCAAGCCAGATCTGGTCATCACAGAAAAAGGAGTTTCTGGTAATAGCACACGTGATGCTTTGTGTTGAATTCATCTCAGTTAAATGCACTGCTCAGAACTCAGAAAAAAACCCAACCAAAACTAAAAAGAACCACAATAATAAACTAAAACAACTCCTCCCAAACCTGGTGTACACCAGCAAATGGGTGTACACTGCAGGCATTGAAGTTCATCCTTGATGTTGCTTTGTGAAAGTAGACTCCTACAATAATATTTTGCTTTTCCAGCATTTGGGAAAGATACCAAAATACAAGTGAAGCTGAGTCTTAACCCCTGCAGAGCTGTGCTGCTGTTTTGCCTTGCAGCCTGGTTTAAAAAGCTCCACTTAGGTGCTTTTCTCCTGTAACCCCTTTTGCTTCAAAGACTGGAATTAAAATAGCTGCCTTGATAACTGATAAACAGATGAAATTTGACATGATACTGCTGATTCATTACTGAAATGACACAAACCTGGTTTCAGACCTGGCCCAGCACTACCTGATGAGAGCCAACATCACCGCCATCCGCAGGGTGAGGAAGACTGACAACAACAGGATTGCCAGGTGGGTGCTGGCTCCTGTCTGGAGCCCATCCCCACTGTGCAGGACATGGAATTGTCCTGATCCCACTCTTTGTGAGTTCTGGTTTGTGAGTGTCTGATGCTTTGGTGTGCTAGGGCCTGCGGAGCTCGCATCGTCAGTCGCACCGATGAGCTCCGGGAGGAGGATGTGGGAACTGGTGCCAGGCTCTTTGAAGTGAAAAAAATAGGAGATGAGTATTTTGCCTTCATCACTGATTGCAAAGATCCTAAGGCTTGCACCATCATCCTCAGGGGAGCCAGCAAGGAAATCCTAGCGGTAAGTGAGTGCACGGGCTGCTTCACCTCCTGTGCCAGCCACCTGTGGGGTGAGTCATGGCCAGCAGACTGAGGGCTGGGCTTTCAGTGGTGTGGTGCTGCAGTTCATGATGAGAAGGGAGCTGAGGAAGGGTCTGGAGCACAAGGAGGAGCTGGGGGGCTCAGCAGGGACCTTATTGCTCCCTATTTAGTACTGCCTGACAGAAGAGTCCACTGGGAATCAGGCTCTTCACCCTAGAAACAAGTGACAGGGCAAAAGGAAGTGGCCTCAAGTTGCACCAGGGGAAGTTTAGATTGGATATCAGGGGAAATTTCTTCATGGAAAGTGTGGCCAGGCACTGGCACAGGGTACCCAGGGCAGTAGTGGAGTCACCACCCTTGGATGGACTTAGCAAATGTGTGGATTTGGGACTTGGGTTAGTGCAGCCTTGGCAGTGCTGGGGGAACGTTTGGGCTTGATTGTGTTAAAGAACTTTCCTGCCTCAGCAGTTTTGTGATTCTGTCCCTGTGGTTGATGCTTTGTGGGGGGCTCCTGGGATGAGTGAAGAGATGTGAATCCTGACTTTGTGTTTCAGAAGGCTGGTTGATTGTATTATGATATATATTATATTAAAGTGATAAACTATAGTAAAAGGATGGAATAAATAAGAAAAAGCTCATGACTGTCAGAGTCCGATGCAGCCTCATCTTTGGTTATTAAATAGAAACAACTCACACTGACTAATCCCAGCTGCACCTGTTGCATCCCACAGCAGCAAACAGTTACTTACACTTCTTCCCTGAGTCTCCTCAGCAGAAAATTCCATAAAACCTGAGAGCTGCGTGTCCCTGTTGCAGGAGGTGGAGCGCAACCTGCAGGACGCCATGCAGGTGTGCCGCAACGTGCTCATGGACCCGCAGCTGGTGCCCGGCGGGGGAGCCACCGAAATGGCCGTTGCCCACGCGCTGACAGAGAGGTCCAAGGGCATGACAGGAGTGGAGCAGTGGCCCTACCGTGCAGTGGCCCAGGCTCTGGAGGTCATCCCCCGGACGCTGATCCAGAACTGCGGCGCTAGCACAATCCGTGTTCTGACCTCGCTCAGGGTAAGGCGGGTGGGAGGCTCGGCCCTTCCCTGCTTCACCCAGGGGTCAGGCACCCTTCAGAACAGTGCCCTTGTTTTCTATCAGTAACCTGTTCTTGTATAAACTCCAAAATTAGGAATATTCTCATGACCTGTTACAGTTTCCTCGGCTTGTAGTCAGTTTGAGACTCCAGAGGAGAAATTGCCATCTCACCCACCCTGTCTTTCTGCTTCCAGGCCAAGCACACTCAGGAAGGCAGCCAGACGTGGGGTGTGAATGGGGAGACTGGAGCCCTGGTTGACATGAAGGAGCTGGGGATCTGGGAGCCCTTGGCTGTCAAACTTCAGACCTACAAAACAGCCGTGGAGGTAAGGAGAGGTCTGTGGGTATCATCTGTGAGAGGAGGACATCCTTCCCTGTGTGCTGGGGTGCTTGGGTGGGCATCACACCCAGTGCAGGGCATGCTGGAGGTGGGATAACGAGGGATGTGGGAGCCCAGACTTGGGCTTTTGATCCTGCAGCTGAATTTAATCATATTTCATCCCACCTTTTCCTGCACACGGTGCAGAGTGCTGTCACTGCTTCCAGTGCCAGACAGAGCTGTGCCTGGCAAATCCCGTGCCAGCAACGTGCTGGAATCATCAGTGATCATGGAGCTTTATCCCTCTGGCTGGCTGGGCTGCCATGTCTCAGCTGCCCTTCTCATGACAGATCCTGCCATTACCTTGCTGGTGTTGGATCCTTGAAGGGATATTGTGTCCCTTCTGTATCATTCAACAAATTAAAATGGGTGTCCTTGTTTCCGTGGTGGTGGGAGAGCAGCCTTGTGTGCTGAAAGAACCATTTCACCCCAGGCTGCTGATTTTGTGGTGTGAAAGCTGGGCAGGTTGGGTGTTTTGTCTTTTGTGATGAGCTCCAGACAAGCCCTGGGTGTGGGGTTTCTCTGCAGACTGCTGTCCTCCTCCTGCGTATTGACGACATCGTTTCGGGGCACAAAAAGAAGGGTGACAACCAAAGCAAGCAGTCTGCAGCACCAGAGGCAGCCCAGGAGTGAGAAGTTGAGTCTTCACAGGGAGAACCGACTGCCTTGACCTTGACATGGAGAGGAGCTCAGTGCAGGGCCCTGCTCTCAAGGCTGAGCCTGGCAAAGTTTGTTTGAAGTCTGGGAGGGATGGAAACCACCCTGGGCATGGGGAAAAGGCAGTGGCTGTTGGTAACACTGCACTGCTGCTGGGGTGAGGGTTACTGACTGAAAATTCTCTTCACCTCAGAATAAATAATTGTTTCAGGCTGTTTCTGTGTTTAATCCTTGCTCTGGCACGGGCTGGGCAGGCGGGTCATGCCAAGCCCAGGAGGTCCAGCGAGGCCAAGGGCAGGGGCTGCACCTGCACTGGGGCAACCCAAAACACAAAGAGGCTGGGGGAGAATGGGTGGAGAGCAGCCCTGAGAAGGCTATGGGGACATGGGTTGACAAGAAGCTCAGCAAGCCATGGCAATGTGCACTGGGGGCCCAGAAAGCCAACACTGCCCTGGGCTCATCCCCAGCAGTGTGTGAGGGGGGGATTCTGCCCCTCTGCTCTGGAGACACCCTCTTGTCAGAGCTTCCTCCAGCTCCGGGGCAAGTCCAGAGAATGAGATATTGGGAAGGAATTCCTCCCTGTGAAGGCGATGAGGCACTGACAGGTGCCCCGGAGAAGCTGGGGCTTCCCCGTGCCTGGCAGTGTTCAGCCTGCTTGGGAGAAGACTTCGAGCAACCTGGTCTGGTGGAAGGGGGTTGGACCTAAATAGCCTTGAAAGTCCCTTCCAAATACCCTGTTATTCCATTATCACTTTGATTCTGCAAGAGTCCATGGAAGCAGAAATCTGTTGTGAGCCTGGCTGAAGAGATTTACAGCTCACTGCACTCTGCAGGCAAGCTGGCTTTGAGAGCACAGTGGTGCAAGCAGCGTGTCATGGGGTGATTTTATGATGATGCTTTATTCCCTTATCTATTTTATGCCCAGAAAACCAATGTGGAGCTTTATGATGGAGCAAGGGGGTGGGGTGGGAGCCTTGAGCTCCTGGGCAGGCTCTGTTCAAGCTCTGGGTGGACTGGGACCCTGCATTGTTCCTTTTCTTGGATTGGGTTGGTGTTTTTTGCTGCTAGAGTAAAGATAAGTGTGGTCTTGGCTGAGTGCTAAGATGTACCCGGCCATAATAACCTCTGCTCCATGGTCCTTGTCTGCTATTGTCCTTTATTAAACTTTTTGTATTTTCACAGGGGAGTGACCATGTTTTTCACAATACCCTGCAGAAAACTGCAGCAGGAGCAGGCAGATGAGAGCTGGAGCAGCCCAGGGGCCAGAGCCCCAGACAGCCCCCCTGGGCAGTAACCAGCTGCAGAGGAGAGAGGGATTCTGCCTCCAAAGGAGCTGGACAAGGAGTTTGGGACTTCTGGTTGTTGTTTTTTCTGTTTGTTTCTCCGTTAGAACACAGAGGACACCTCACAGCTGCTGCTGCAGCCACAGAATCCTTTGCCCAGGGGGCTGAAGCATGGCACAAGCAGCACCTCAAAGGGCACGGTGCCATCCCGACCCTGCTGCTGTTCTTGGGGCTCCAGAGGTGTCCTTTCCCGAGCTCTGGGCTGCCGCTGGCATCGGACTCTGCTCAGTTCTTTTTGCTCTTGGGGGTGTCATACTTTCTCTTGCTCGAGTACCAGAGCAGCAGGGGGATCCCGATGGAGGGCAAGGTCATCACACCAAATGCCGCCCAGTCCAGCTAGAGGGAGAAATTGTTAAAAGTCAAAGCAACCCAAGCCAGGGGAGTCTTAGAGCAATGGGATCAGAGGAGAGGGAGGGGAGACCTTGCACTGTCTGCAGCTTCCTCACATGGGGAAGCAGAGGGGAAGGTGCTGACCTCTGCCCTCAATGACTAGGGACAGGACCCGAGGGAGCACCTGCAGCTGTCAGGACAGCCAACATTCAGGCTGGATATTGAGTACTGCAAAGTCAAGTCCTTGCCCTCCACTGCATATCTGTTCAACAGGGATTTGGAGGCCAGCAGCCTGGCACCATCCTCACAGAGAGCCACAGGCACCAGGGCAAACACGGCAAGCAGCAGGAGCTTCATCTGCAAACACAAGGAAATGGAATGAAATCTCTGAACACTGGCCTGTGGGGATGTGAGGATTGCCATGGCAGTGTCCCAGACCTGCAGCCATGGAAGAAAAGTTCATGGTCTCCTCCCCTTCCAAAGCCCTGGCCAGTGTCACTCCCTTTCACAGAATCGTGGCACATCCTGAGGTGAAAGGGACCCAAAAAGATCACGGAGTCCAAGCCCTGGCCCTGCACATCTCAGCAATGGGCAAAGCTTTCAGATCACTCAGCCTCTTCTAGTCACTTCCACAGCAAAGGCCTTGGTAATAACAATTTCATCAGTTTTAGCAGCTAGTGGTTAATTGTCCTTGCAAAGAACACACCAGAATGAGTTCCTCTCAGCAAGCACAGCTCCTCACTCCCAGCACTGCTCTTCCCTGTCTCCAGGCACTGAGGAAGCACCAACCCTGTCCCGTGGCTTTTGTGACCCCCTGCACTCACCCAACCCCAGAGCCTCTGCTGGGGGACAGGGAGAGCACAGCAGGGCACTCCATGGGGCTTTCAAACACAAAAACTGCCCCAACATCAGGGCCCTGCCCTCCACAGCCACAGCCGGGCTTGGACAGGGCTGCAAAGACCACGGGGCAGCCACAGCAGCTCTGGACAACCTGTGACTCGCCTCCCTCATCAATTCCTTCCCAAAATCCCACCCAACCCTGCCCTCTTGCCTTGTTTTGTCACTCCAGACCTTGTCCAAAGTCCCTCTCCAGCTCTTCTGGAAGCCCTGCAGGCCCTGGAAGGGCTGGAATCCTCTCCAGGTGAGCACCCTCAGCTCTCCCAGCCTGTCCCCGGAGCAGAGCAGCTCCAGAGCCCTCAGATCATCTCTGGAGCAGCTCCTTGTCCTCCCTGTGCTGGGACCCCAGAGCTGGAGCAGCCCTGCAGGGGAGGGTCTCAGCAGGACAGAGGGGCAGAATCCCCCCTCACACACTGCTGGGGATGAGCCCAGGGCAGTGTTGGCTTTCTGGGCCCCCAGTGCACATTGCCATGGCTTGCTGAGCTTCTTGTCAACCCACACCCCCAAATCCTTCCCAGAGCTGCTCTCCAGCCATTCTCCCCCAGCCTGTTTGTGCTTGGGGTTGCCCCAGTGTAGCCATGATATTTTATGAAAAATCCTCTGCTGGGATTTTTCTCCTATTCCAGCGGAGGAGCCTCAGGAAAGAAATGTGAACAATTAACTCTCTGATGGCTGTGGAACGCGGGCTGGACACTGTTTGCCAGCAGACTGTTTCTAATTAATGGCCAATCACAGTCAGCTCACTCGCCTTTGTAATTCCATTCCATTCCATTCCATTCCATTCCATTCCATTCCATTCCCGTTCTTCCCAGCCTTCTGACGAACCCTTTCCTCTCTATTTTTTTTTAATATAATGTATCATTTTAACGTAATATATATCACAGCATAACAAATCAGCCTTCAGGAACACGGAGCCAAGATCCGCGTCTCCTCACACCGACCCCAGCGCAGGGGCAGCCCCAGGGCTGGCACGGACCCGCCTGCCCAGCCCTGCCCAGGCCGCTCCTGCCCCCTCACGAAGCCCACAGGGACTCCACGCCAGGGAACCGCCCGGAACGCCCCGGCTCTGCCGCTCCCGTCCCCTCAGAGCCCAGAACCGCTCCTCTCCCACAGATCCTCCCCTCCAGGGCCTCCCCAGCGCCCCCCGCTCGGTGCCGGGGCCCGAGGAGCCGCCCCGGGCCCGCCGCCCCTCACGGCCCCTCACCGCCAACGCCGCACAGCCCGCTCAGCGCCACCGCGGCGGAAATGACGCACTCCAACCGCGCCTCCGCGCGCGCTGTGCCCCCTGGGAGATGGAGTCCGCGCCCTCAGGGACTCCGCGCCTGCGCACAGCGCGCGGCCTGGGTGGTGGTTCGTTTGGGTTTTGATTTTGGTTGGTGTGGAAAACGCCGGTCACTTGTGGTTTTTTTTTTTTTTGAAATTTTAAAAGTTTAGTAGTAATAAAATGGTTATAAAAATAGTGATATAATTAGAATAATAAAATTTGAACATTTGAGGTTAGGACAATATGAGACAATAAAAACAAAGAGATACGGATGGCCGGGTAGCTTTTTCTGGGCAACACAAGCCCGAAAAAGGACCCCTGTTAACAGAGAATTAACCCTTAAAAACAATCACCTGTTGCATATTCATACACCTCATACATGATGCATAAATTCCATTCAAACACAGGATTCTGTCTGGTCACTGTCAACTTCTTCCTCTCAATCCTCATGCCGTCTTCCTGTCTGAGCGAGGTGGGAAGAAATTAGTTTTCTGCTGATAAGGGAGCAATAAATTCCCTTTTCTGAAAGATTTAGGTGTCGTGCAGCCGCCATCCAGCGAGGGCCCCTCATTCCTTTCTACAAGAAAACATTCCACGTACATAGTTCCTATTTTAACTACAAAACCTGCCTTTTTTGCTATGAAACTACATTTACCTTAGTATTAAAATATTAATACAACTTAATGTGTATAGTAAATGTCTGCGTAGAGCCATATAATATGCACTTTTCACAGCTGGGAGCAGGCCCCAGTGCTGCCCGCCTTCCAAAGAAATAAGTATTGATTAGGAGGCAAATGTGACTTGCCACCAAAATGACAATAATGTACAGAGATTCCTTCCCTTAACCCCTGGGGAGTAACTGTGACGTTTCAAGAGAAACTCCACACATCTCCACGCAGAAGATTTCTGCCTTGTGAAAGTTTGGTATGGCTTTTAGGGTTTGTAAAGTGAGGTGTCTGTTAGTCAAAAATCTGACTTACATTGCCAGAGCTCACTTCTTCAGTGAGATTTTTATTTATTTATTTTTATTTTTATTTTTATTTTTTATTATTTTTATTTTTATTTTTATTTTTATTTTTATTTTTATTTTTATTTTTATTTTTATTTTTATTTTTATTTTTATTTTTTGGGGGATGCCAGAGCAGTGTTAAACCCATGGTGCCAGCATGACTCCCTACAACACAGCTCGTCCTGTTTGAGTTATCTGAGAGGCCAACAAACAACAGATAAACTCTTTGTGGGAGGGTCAGATGCCCGGCTATGGAAGGAAATCACACAGGCCTGAAGTTTCAGGTTGTTCTAGATTGCAAGGCAATGTGTATTCTGCTGCCATCTGCTGAAGGTGGGGCAGTTATCTTCTGCAGTTTTCTTATCTCTTCCACAAGCCAATCCTCCCTCCGGGGAGATATCTGCCGTTAATGGCCCATTAATTATTAATTATCTTCTGTTAATGGCCCATTGAGTGTCCCTGCATGGCTGATAAAATTCCACCACCCCACTGGGAGATGCTGCGCCCACGTGGAGGAGCCAAGCATTCCTACCTGGATGTAACCCGAGATTTTTGGGACACCAGAGCAACATTTCCACTGGGTTCCCAAAGGAGCAGCTGCCTCTTCCACGGGATCTTCAGAGGAAGGCTGCACCCTTCTGCAGGATCCCTGCTCCTGGAGCACATCTGCCACTCCAGGAGAGGTGCTGCCGCAGTTCCAGTCCAGCTGGGCTGCTACAGGAACTTGAGAATGTGATAACAGAGGGTGCAGAACCACGCTGCATTGTCAGGGGTTGTTATGTAAATGGTGATGTCTAGATTAATAGGTTTCAGTCCCAGCACAGAATCCATTGGTGTGAACAATTCCACTTATTCTAACATTTTGGAGGAGACACCAGCTCAAAGAATTTCAGTCCTCACCATGTTTTATACTGGAGGTACAGTCACAATATTTCGGCCTGTAATTTTTTCTGTTTCTTGCAATGCCCAAATTACAGCTTTAATTAATTTTTCCCTTGGGTTATAGTGTATAGAAGAGCCTAGTAATATCTTGGACCAAAATCCTACAGATTTTTTTCTGACTTTTCAGTCGAGTTGTCTGCCACAATCCACTTTATCACCTAGAATTGATACTTTCAACTCCAAAGGATTTCCTTGCCTAAGAGTGTATAGTTTGGCTTGCTCAATCAAAACTTTTTTGCAGGCATCACAGGCTTCTTCTTGTTCTTGTTTCTTTGTCCATTGCTAAACAACTTTCTTCCTGGTCCATTTTTGCTGTTAGAGACACCACAGTGTCTTGGTGTGAGGTGACAGAGGAGTTGAAAGAGAAGAATTTTTGTGCATAGGCGTCGACTTCTGTCAATGATGAAACATTTTTTGCTGTTAAGTTCCTATTTATTTCTGATTATGGGACACTGACTTGCACAAGATCACTCCACATTTGTTTCCTTGTCACACGTGAGGTGAGTCTTCAGTTTTGCCCGATGATTTTCATTCACCACCCGCACAGCTGGTTCTGAAATTAGGGCCCAAATTTCCCCTAAGGTACTTGCTAGGACACCTACATTACTGGTAGCACTGTGGTGGCTGGTGTGATCAAGGTCTCCAGTGAAACAGGCACCCCTCTCAAAAGCTGTATTTTGATACTTTTAGTTACTGCTGCCCCATCCAGACTAGATCCTGTAATTACCCGGCCACTGGGGATGAGGAGCTGTGAGCAGAGGGGTGCTGGGGGGCTGCAGGGGGTGTGCAGGGGGGGCTGCAGCTCAGCCCTGCCCTCTGTGCCCTGCAGGGACTCCAGTGACGAGGAGGAGACAGTGGGGCTGTGGCTGGGCACATCAAGGACAAGATCAAGGGCCCAGGGGCTCCCCTCCAGAATGGCCCAGCTGGAGGAGGTGGAAAAGAGTGAGGAGAGCGATGTGGGCAGCAGTGGGGTCAGCAAGGACAGACTGCTCTGCTGTGGGGTGGCAGTGCCCCCTGTCCTCCCCAGCTCTGGGCATGCTGGATGCCAACACTGCACTCCTCTCTCCCTTCAGCTGCCAGCAGCAGGCCAAGAACAGTGAAAGGGAGGGCAAGGGCCCAGGGACAGCTGGACAGTGCCACAGGGCAGCAAAACCACGGCTCCAGGTGCTGGGATGTGCCTGGAGCCCCACCAGTGCAGCAGAAGCTGAGAGCCACTGGGAGGGAAGGGCTGGTGAATAAATCACCTGGTCCTCAAGGCACCCGAGTCCTGGTACTCTGAGCTGGCATCCACCATGCCATGGTGGTCCTGACCTTGTGATACCCCAGCTCCTTGCTGCCCTGGCTCCATCCCTGCTGTGACCCCAGCCTCTCAATGCCCCCCAGCACCTGGGTGTCACCATCTCCATGCCCACTGCGCCTGCAGCCCCTGTCCCCAGCCTTTATGGTGTCCCCATTCCCCTCCCTGTGGTGCCCCCAGCCCCTCAGTGTCCCTCTCCCCATCCCTGCAGTGCCCCAGACTCTCAATGTCCCTGTCCCCAACCCCACAGTGCCCCCAGTCCCGAGCTGCTCCAGGGCGGGGATGCAGAATGGACAGACAGCTGGACACGGGGGAAGTCCCTGCTTCTCCGTTTATTACCAAGCAGCCTTCGTTTAAAAAAAAAACAAACAAAAAAAAAAAAAAAAAAAAAACCCAAAAAAAACAAAAAAAAAAAAAAAAAAAAAAGAGGGGCGGGGGCGCCCGGGCGGGGCGGGGGCCGCCCGCCCGTGGTTTGTTTGGTTCCTGACACCAGAGAGGTTCAAGTAGCCGAAAAGGTTCAAGTTCACCATAAGGCACTTTAAAGCCATGACGGGAGCAGAGCCCCCCCGGCCCCATCACCCCTCCCGGCACCCCATGGCAGAGAGAGGCCGGGCAGCGCTGGTGGTTGGCAGCAGAGGGGCTGTGTGTGGGGGGAATATATTACATCATCTTTTTAAATATAGATAAAACTCTTATTTGTAGACAAATAGTGCCGGTCCCCTCCACCCCCGGGGAGGCTGCGCCCTGCGGGGGGCATGTGCAAAGGACAGAGGGGTGACCGTGGGGGCCCGGCCACCCCAGGGAAAGGGGAGGGGGGGGTCCCACGGGGCCGGGGGATTTCGGAAAGGGGAAAGGGTCCCGGGGGGGGCCGGGGCTGCCCCGCACCCGGGTGGGCTCACCCGAATAGTGCAACCAAGAGAAAGCAGCCGGGAGTGCAGGGGCGAGGGGAGCTCGCCGGGGGGGGCTGCTTGGAGTGGGGAGGTGGGGACAAGCTATGCACAGCGTAGGGCAGTGCCCCCCGTACCCCACTGGAGAGGATGGGGGGGCTCTCCCCACCTTGGGGGGGAGGGGGGCCTTGGTCCGTGGGTGCCCCTGCCCGGTCCTGGCATCCACGAGGGGTTTGGTGGGGGGACATCCAAGTCCCAATCCCCCCCACCACCCGCCTGGGCATGGCCAGGTGGGCCCGGGCACGGTGTGGGGGGGGGTGGTAGGGGCCCCCCACCCCCTTGTGCAAATCGGCCGAGGGGAGTTTCCCCCTTTGCATAACTAGGAATGAACCGTGACGGGAAAAACAGGAACAGAAACCCCAGTGGGCACGGCACAGCTCGGCATGGAACGGGCACGACACCTGCCGCTGCGTCGGCCTTACGCCATCTCCACCGGCACGGCGCCGTCTGGCTGCGGCCCTTCCTCACCCTCGGGCTCCTCTTCCTCCTCCTCGGGCTGCCCTGGAGCCCAGTAGCGGGCAATGGAGAGGCGCAGCCCCTCCAGCCGCCCGTTGGAGAGGTCGAGGCCTGGGGGCCCCGCGGGCGGCGGCGGCGGCTCGTCGCGGCGGCGGCGGCGGGTCCGCACCTCCAGGCAGTTCTGGC